TGGCGATAAGCCTTCTGTGGAGGTTCTCTTGTTCCAAGAGTTTTTCAGGAATGATGAGTGCATCATCGTCCGGGCTGTTCTCTTCTCCGGAGACAGGTTGGTGAATTTTACCCTCAGGATCGGCGTTATCATTGTCCCTTGGCTCATCCTGCTCCATTGCTGGGTCCATGGGGTCGCTGTTTCCTTTGGAATCAACCGGGGTATTATTATTTCTTGCACTGTTGTCGCTGTTTTTACTGTGACGGGATATAGAGCGGCGTCTATGGCACCGCTTTGGTGGCTTATCGAGGGGATTATCCTTCGTTGTATCGTCACCATCGCCTTCTTTTGGTGTGTCCACCATATATATATCATATGATGATGTGGCTGTCCAGCGCCCTATAGGCGGTGGTTCCTGTTCTTCTCCAGCATCGTCGTCCATACCGTCGATGTCTTCGGAGTCGAAGTCAAGCATGTTGGTTAAGTCATCGACAGTGGCTATGAAGTGGGTGGTGGGTGGGGGACGAATTTCTTCGTCGTCCGCTCCCCACTCGAGCCGGACATAGTTCGGCCAAGAATCTCCTGACAAGGAAAGAGACCTTAATGAGTTTAGCACGTCACCTAAGGGCGAGTGCTGAAAAATATCCACGGCGGTAAACTCCATGACCGGTGCCCCATCAGATTCGATAGGCACGGAAGCACGCGGTTTGGATCCTGTTGCCGGAGACGAGTCCGAGGGTCCGATGAAACCACTCTCACATGAGGTGAAATCAGTGTTCGGCTCCGACGCCGATGAGTGTGCGGCCTCCGCGACGTGGTCCATCCACCCGTCCTCGGAAGGCATGATCTGCTCCGGATAGATTCCCGGTGCCACCACGGGCGCAATCTCCCGAATATTGTCCGACGTCAGATCAAAGTCATGCCCGCGGTGACCGTTCGGCGCACACGGCATGGGCTCAAATCCGTCGAAGATCAAGTCTCCGCGGATGTCGGCAGTATAGTTTAAGCTTCCAAACCTAACCTGATGGCCAGGGGCGTAGCTATCGATCTGCTCCAGATGGCCAAGTGAATTGGCCCACAATACGAAGCCGCCGAATACGAAGATCTGTCCGGGAAGGAAAACCTCCCCTTGGACTGCGCATCATTGAATATGATTGAAGGAGCCATCAAGCCTTACAGCGACGACACAGTGGAACTCTCAATGAAAGCACCAATGTCGGTGTCAAAATCGGCGGATCTCGGGTAGCGGGTCCCGAACTGTGCGTCTAAGGCTAATGGTAACAGGAGGCAGGGGACACGATGTTTTATCCAGGTTCGGGCCCTCTCGATGGAGGTAATACCCTACTTCCTGCTTGATTGATCTTGATCATATGAGTATTACAAGAGTTGGTCTACCACGAGATCGTAGAGGCTAAACCCTAGAAACTAGCCTATGATTATGATTGTTGTTCTCCTACGGACTAAACCCTTTGGCTTATATAGACACCGGAGGGGGCTAGGGTTACACAGAGTCGGTTACAAAGAAGGAAATCTACATATCCGAATATCCAAGCTTGCCTTCCACGCAAAGGAGAGTCCCATCCGGACATTGGACGAAGTCTTCAATCTTGTATCTTCATAGTCCAACAGTCCGGCCAAAGTATATAGTCCGGCTGTCCGAGGACCCCTTAATCCAGGAATCCCTCAGCGGTCCATGGAGATTATTTCAAAAATTGTGGGGACATTGGAGCTTCCCCCCGCGACACATATACAGCAGCGATGGGAGGCGCCGATGGCCGGGGTTGTCAAGATGAATGTCGATGCCGATGTTGACACGGCTAGTGCAAAAGGCGGCACCGACGCAGTTGCCCGAAACAGCGACGACGGAATACTTGTGTCGCAGTGCACTGGCTACCAAGGGGTGGTTGATCCCCTAACTCTGGAAATGTTGGCATGCAGAGATGCTATCTTGCTCACTAGGGAGAAGAACTATCATCATGTGATAGTGGAGACAGATTGCGTTAATGTTGTTCAGCTATGGGAAGGTAGACTGAGAGGCAAATCGAAGGGGTTCCACATCTTCCAAGAGATGCAGGAGGAGTTGCTGTTTTTTCAGGGATTCGAGCTTCATTACGCTAGCCGTCTAGGGCGTGTTTGGTTCCTTGTGTAGCTACAAGCTGCACTGCATGGGGCGTCCTGGGTGAGCCTGGCCTGGCTGGGCTGCTGCAAGGACGAACAGACATGGGTGTTTGGTTCACTTACATGATATTGCTGCACACGAGCAGATTTTTCTGAATTTTGCTGGGCTTGCCTGATCATTGTTTGCTAGCTACTTCAGCGACAGATTACTCGTACGTAATCCAACGCTTGAGCCGTCAGTCATAACCAAAACTGCACTACTCCATTAGCTATCTCGCATACTTGTATTGAAACAAAGGAGATGGATCGACCAAGTTAGCGCAGACTCGACCAATGTTGTCGCGAGTCGCCGTGCAAATGCATCGATTGTTTCCTTTAGTGAGGAACGCGGTGACGCAGCAACGCGGGTCAACGAGAACCGGAGCTCGGTGGCTCCAGACGGCAGGACGAGGATGTCAACAACGATGCTTGGTCGAGGACGACGGCGGCTGCAACGCTTGGTCGAGGATGACGGTGACGACACTTGGTTGAGGACGGCGGCGGTGACGACACTTGGTCGAGGACGGCGGCGGCGACGACGCTTGGTTGAGGACGGCGGCGGCGACGACGCTTGGTCGAGGACGGCGGTGGCGACCGCGCTTGGTCGAGGACGGCGGCGGCAACGACACTTGGTCGAGGACGGAGGCGGCGACGACGACGGCACTACCCTTGTTCGAGGTCGGCGACAGCTACCCTTGTTCGAGGAGGACGACGGCGACGGCACTTCGTCGTGGACGACGACGACACTTGGTCGAGGACGACGGCGGCGCTTGGTGGAGGTTGAACGAGGACGACAGGGTTTGATGAGGGCGGCGACGACCGTTGGTTGAGGACGATAGCGGCGGCGTTTGGTCGCGAAGAGAAGAAAGATAGAAGAAAAGCGAACCAGCCAGAGCCTGCATGCGAGAAACGCGAGAAACTTGCGTTTCCCTCGGCCTGGCTGGGAAGCCTCCTTTTGCATCCATGGACTATGCTCATGCGTCCATGCAGCCTACCAAACCACCCAAGTTTTGGGTGGCGGGTGCGAGCCATATGCAAACCAGGAAACCAAACACCCCCTAGTGAATTCTTGTGCTAAGGAAGCTTTAGCTATAGAGAATGTTGCTACATACTCTAATGTAATCCCTGATTTTTTGAGATGCGTTGGCTACCGCTGAATGAATAAAATCCGGAGAGCGGAGTTATAAAAAAGAAAAAGAAATTGCAGTGGCGTTTATCCGAGTCACATTTATATCGAATTAACCCAAGAAAATACCCCTCCCAGTCCCAGCCTGCGTCACCCGACCCGACCCCCCCGCAGAAAGAAGAAACAGTCGCCTCGCTCGATCCCCTCTCGCCCTCGCTCTCGCACGCCGCACGGAAAGGCTAGGGTTCCTCGCCGCCGCCGCCGCCGGTCCCTGGCTCCTCGTCACGGCTAGCTCCGGCCACATGGACGGCGGGTAGGAGCCCATCTTTCGCCGCTTCTCCATCCTCTGACGCGACTCCTAGGGCGAGGCTTCTCCCTCGCAGCAGCTCCTGGTCGGTCCGGCCTGGGCACCACTCCGGCGAACGGCGCCCCACTCCGGCCGACGACCCAATCAGGTGAAGGACCCCCGTTCGTGCCCCCTCCCCTCCTCTCAGTCGTTGGCCATGAGTTCCTCTGCCAAGATGAGCAGCCCCTTTTGATTTTTTTGCCAAACATTCATCCAGATTTGCTATGAACTTCTGCTGATGAATGATGTTTTCCTATTGATTTGCTATGTGGTGGTGAATATATATGGTGCTGCTGCTGCATATATACTTGTAATGTGCTGCTAGACATACATAAATACATGACCAAAACGAGATTTAGCTGGCTGTTATGGTTTGCAAAGTCTGTCCAGTTTGCAAAGTCTCGTGTATATTCATGTTTTCATGCACAGTAGTAAGTTCTCACTAAGTATTGTATTTGCCTCTGGATGCTATCATTGTATTTCCATAGAGGAAAAATTGATGGTTCTGTGTTAGATCTTTCATACTCGTACTCGTACCTGAGATAATGATGCTTGTATGATGTGAGATAATGATGCATTTATGATATTCGTATGTCACGCAATGATCTTTATTATGTTTGATTGGAACATGTTGTGGTGTTTTGAAGTCGAATTTATGTTCATTTGAGGAGCAAAATGATAAATATAACACAATATCATTTAATCAGGACAACCATATAGTCCAAGGGCATTACAGATTTTTCACTGACTATACAACAGATAAGCTGAAAAAACAGGCACTTTGAAAAGAACTAACTAGCTTATTATCTGGAGCTTATCTAGAGCTTATTTTTACGGGAGCTTATTTACACAGCATAGCTCAAAAGAACTGGCCCTTAGTCAGCAGGCAGCAGTCATTGAGGACGCATCGCCTCCTCGTCTCCCTTGGCGTCGTCCTCCTCCGGACCCCTCCACCTCGAAACCCCAGCCAGCCTCGCACTCGCATTCGCACCGCTCCAGAACCCCTGACCCGCTCCCTTCCCTTGGCGCATGCAGGTCTGTGACAATCGATCCTCTCTAGTAGGCACCAAAGTTTCAATTTCTTTTACTCTTCTTCTGCTCTAGGTGGGTGCATTCCCCTTTCCCTCCCTCTTCCACACTGCTGGCTGTATGACGTTTCTTGGTACAACCTGATGCTATCTTCGCCTCCCTTACAAGATTGGGGTTTCCAGTGCGGTTCTTATCCACCCGCTACTTTCGCGCATTCCTCTTTTCTCCTAGGGTTTCATAAACGAATTTATGTATTTATTTATTTATTTTTGTCTTATGAGGAGGGTTTGATTGGCTGATAATGCAAATACACATCTTCTCTGCAGCACAAATAGCAGTGGGGCATTTCACTAAAGGAAGGCCATGATTTCCCACAAGGATAGGGCTCAAAAGGCGTATGAGGCCATGGGGCGTCTCGGCTTCCCCAAGAAGCAGGTTTCGCCAGTCCTGAAGCACCTCTACAAGCTCTTTGAAAGCTGGGAGCCCATCGAGGACGAGAGCTACCGCATCCTTGCTGACACCATCCTGGATAGCCAAAAGAATCAACCAATGCCTGGCACTAGCCGTCATGTACAAATGCTACGCTGCTTTCTGTTTCTTTACTGTATAATTACCATCTGATGCTCAGCCTTTCCAATTGCTGTTTCACATCAGGTGACGGACCAAGAGTCCGAGCCTCACAACTCAACGTCGGTCACACCAGATCCAGATGACCAACACCCTTCTGCTGCTCGGTATGGCATGGATGTCAGTGATAATGAAACCTCCCTCATCAACAGATCCATGGATGTCAGTGAAAATCCCCAAGATGCTCTCTTCTTACAAGAGCCCAAACCTGAACCTGAAATTGATGTTCCAGCTGCTCCTGTTGCCAACGACCTCAATACTGGGTCTTCAGGTATACCACTTGCATTATCTCACCATCACTCAGTACTTTCAAGACCAGGCTAGAGCTGTTCATGCTTTGCGTTAGTTTTAGTTGAAATTATAGTTCATACTGATCTTTGTATGCTCTGGAAATCAAACTCAACATTTTCCCTATGATATTACCAAATTGTGTAAGTCCTTACGGTGGTTTCCGGTGCACATGTATGTGGTTTATTTTAGCATTTGCTTGGTTGCTTTCTTTCCTTTTTTTTGGATGGCTGTGCAATTGTAGCAGTTGCTTTGATTATTCTCAATTTGTGATGAGTTTCTGTCGGCAATATTCTTGTTCTAATTGGATCTACTGTATTTGCAAAATAAAACATAAATAGGTGGGGACAACATGCTAATTGAACATTGTAAAACAAGGGATATGCTGACATGGGATTCTGATGCTAGAGCTAGCATAGTTAACCACGATCAAAATCCGGACAGCAGCCAACATGCAGTCAAGGATGGGGTAGAGTCTACTGTTCAAAATACTCACCAGGCATCTTTTGTTGAACTTGATGTAGCTTCATCCACTCTGGGTGAGGTGAAGGTGTCATTGAAATGCAAATTTGACCCTTCAGAGGTCTGCATTAGTTTGGACAAGGTCTTCAAAATAGTTGAGGATAAATGTCTACGCTCATACCAGACCCTACCTCCTGATTTTTCTGTTGGCAAGCTGATGAATGAGATATGCCAATATGTTGCAGAGTCACGTGCTGTGCATTCTGAAGCTCAAAACAATGGTGGCAGCTTGCAAGAACAGGCTTTGGAGACGCATGCTCCCTTTGTGAAGCCAATTGCTTGTAAGCATGCTGTTGGTGGGAATGGTAATGCTGCCGTAGGATCATCCTCGGAACCTAGCTTTCAAAATTGGGTAGTTGCTTATCACCCTCAGGAAGCACTTTTTAAGCAAAGGCCACTGCATGATGTTGCTGACATAACGAAGGGACAAGAAAGAGTTAGAATACCTATTGTAAACGAATTTGGTAGTGATAGTTGTCCGCCATTGTTCTATTACATAAGAAAGAATCTCATTTTCCAAAGTGCTTATGTCAACACCTCACTTGCGCGGATTGGTGATGAGGATTGCTGCGCAGATTGTTCAGGCAACTGCTTATTAGAACCACATCCATGTCCATGTGCAAGATCAACTGGAGGTGAGATTGCATACACACCGGAGGGCCTGGTCAGGGCAGAATTAATTGATGAGTGCATTGCTGTTAATCACTTCCCAGAAAAGGATAATAAGTTCTACTGTAAAGCTTGTCCTCTTCAAATATATAAGACGAAGCCCTCACCAGATCCATGTAAAGGTCATCTTGCTAGAAAATTCATTAAGGAGTGTTGGAGTAAATGTGGCTGTGGCAAGCAGTGTGGAAATCGTGTGATTCAGCGTGGGATAACATGCAATCTCCAGGTACTATCTTAAATCATTTGTAGGTTATCACAGCCATTATACTTTTGTGGCTTCCCATTTTTGGATGATGATCACTCATCAGTAGTTTCTTTATGGACCATTCTGTTCTTTGATGAATGGCCATTGACATCATTCATTTGTTTTGCTATATTAACGTGTTTCTTGCTCCATTCTTGTAAGCACTAGCAAATCGAAACTTCACTTTGTTCCCTTTACTTTGGTGTCAACCTTGTAGCATGGAGATGAGCTGACCATTATTCCGTGATTCAGGTGTTTTTCACGAATGAAGGGAAGGGCTGGGGGCTACGGACGCTGGATGGGCTGCCAAAAGGTGCTTTCATCTGTGAATTAGTTGGGGAGGTACTAACAAGTTCTGAACTATACGAGAGAAAAGCCAAAAATTCTAAGCATGTGGATCAAGTGCTCCTAGATGCTAGTTGGGGTTCTGAAGGGGTGCTAAGAGACGAGGAAGCTCTCTGCCTTGATCTGACATTTTATGGGAATGTCGGGCGATTTGTCAACCATAGGTATGCTAGGACTCTTTTCCCATCTGTTCATTTATAAAGCCTCAGCAGCCTTGTCTATTAATGCTATATTTGTACTTTTTGCTGATTTGTTTCTGATAATAATGCTTTGCCATGTAGATGCTATGATGCAAATTTGGTAATCATACCTGTTGAAGTCGAGACTCCTGATCGCCATTATTACCATGTAACTGATTTTTGGCAATTGATATTGGTTTCTGCACCGAAGGTGCTTGATTTGCAGCTACATGCTTACGAGTAATTGATGTTTCCCCCCTCTTAACGCAGCTTGCATTATTCACTGCCAAGAAAATAGAGGCTTTTGAGGAGTTAACGCGGGTAAGTGTTTGTATCATTTTCTCAAACACTAGTACATGACAACCACCTGCCACTACTTGATAATACCCTTAATTAATACCTGCACAATATGAGGTTCACATGCATACTAGCCAAACCGTTGATTCCCATACAATATTAATTGGGGCCTGCTTCAGTACACCCGCCTCCCAAGAATTAGAATGGGTATTTTTGTCTTTTACTATTAATTAAGTGCTAATAGACCTAACCGTGCGTCACTTGATCTCATCCTTACGTTACGAGAAAAAGGGAGAATACCACAATGGCTGCTGGGTGAGCTTGGCTAGTTTGCTTGATCGATCAATGGAATGTAGGGTTGGCTTAAGCATCATCTAAACACTGCATGTGTGTGCTGTCAAAGGAACAAAATCACATGTGGTGTCTCTATCACGCGATGTCCTATCATGACCTGTAGGGCGCCTATGCGGTGACTCCGTTAGCGGCATCGGCGATGAGCTGTTCGCGTTGGAGAGGGAGAAGATAGTAGGTGAATATGTATGTAGGAGTACGAGTTAAGATGACGAGAACTAGATCTGGAATACCCATCATCGATTCAATTAAGGGAGTTGTAGTGAAGCAGGAACCATATTATTAAGGTGCTCACTGAATTCAGCAATTTAACTAGTATGTTGAGCTGACACTACCTTTGGGTCAAATTAAGGGGCTGATGTTTGGGCGGCCTTATTTCATATGGGTCGGCAACACTCGAAATATCGAATTGTGCATGTAGAGCAGAAAAAAAAGAAATTTTGCTGGCTCAGATCCATATATTTTGTTGTGAGTGACCATCACCCACTTAAGAGTTGTGGTTTCAGGATTATGGCATTGATTTTGATGGTACTGATGACCTCAATAAAGCATTTGACTGCATGTGTGGAAGCAAGTACTGTCGCGGCGGTCCGAAGAATTCAAGTACGTCCACCCTTTTTTAGTGCTTATTAAAGCATTTTTTGCCGTCGGAAGTCATCTGGTGACTGGACGTGGTGTGTTTAATTTGGACATATGATGATTGTCATTGGCAGGGAAGAGGACTAGGGCAAGTGCAAGTCGGAACTAGAGGGATTTGCATTCGGTCAAGAGCGGTGGAAGAAGAGTGTTGGCAGGAACAGGGCACAGAGTTTGTTGCCTTATGATGATTGTAGATAGTTGCAAGGGGCGGTGTCGGCCAGTCATATTTTGGGGTTTGGATGTAGTAAAACCAACTAAAAATGCCTGATGCAGAGCAAGTGGAACTTAATTAGTATGTGTCGTCAGTGTGTCACTGTGTTGTGCGTCCGGAGTTTACCTAGCAATTGCAGTTAACTTGCTTCACTGCCCGAGCTTATTCTGCATCTTTTTTTCTTCCTCTTTCCATGTCAATTTTAGTTTCTGTATTTATTTATACGTGTCTCCACATTACTAGTACTAGTTTTTTCTTTTGAACTAGATGACACGTTGCGCCGATGGCGCAAAGGGCGAGAGCGGACCAAGCTTTCAAATCATGCAAGTTGGAATATTTAGACACCGAGCATAAAATCATTGAAGCATAAGGGAATAAATATTTAGATATGATGTTCATACATAGCACTATATATTACATCGATGGTAGGTTCATAGGCTAAAAGACATGAGATCAGTTCATGGTAAGCAAAGCTACATAGGCAGAGATGCATCATATAGATAGCTTTGGTCATCGAGATTATGGTAACTCAGAGAGATAAAGGAAGGCCAAGTAACAACACAGAAGCAATGTGGATTATAAACGCTGAAAACAGAACCGTTGGTTCAAAATGTAAGCATAAGTTTTTGGTTCGCCATGAACATATAGGTTTCGTGAGTACAAAAGAAGCTACTGTATTATGCTTGGTATTACAAAGCTATTTATTCATCGGTGCACAAAAACGCAGAGGTACTTGAAGGCCTATAAAAAGCAGTGGCTCCATACATATGTAGTGGCATGAAAAAAAAAAGGCAAGGAACAACATAATGTGGTGCATACCCAAACAACAAAGAATAATAGTTTCTGCATACATCTGTTTGTTTGTTACTCCAAGCCACTAAAAAGCAATATCCTTGCACAAAAACAAATGAAATACTTTGTTGCAACAATTCATAATAAGCATCACAATTCCCCCTGCAGAAATAAAAGAAAAATCTGAGCTTTGAAGTCAAACACGCATATAGATATATGCAGTCAAAGACCTTTAGGCTATTCGATGTAAGACCATTATTTTTTGGCATCAAATAAAAACTTGAGAAGCAAAAACTGAAGTAAACTGATGTTCAGATTGGATGTTCAGAAAGAACAGTACGTAGACGAGCAAGGCAGTCAGCACAAAGATCTCCATGCCCACTAAGGGCATCTCCAGCCGTTCGGCCCCCCAGGGCACCTAAATAGAGCGGCCTGGGGGCGTACCGGCGCTAGTTCGGCCCCGGAAGGCGACCTAGCTCCCAGTCACGCCCCCACGCGCCGGCCCCAGGATGCGGGAAATTCAAACTTGGTCGTTTCCGCTCTCAAAAGACGCCGCAAATCCGGCGATCGGACGTAGTCTGACGTTACAGAAAACAGAGGGCCGCCGTGCGCAACGATTCACTCGGCTTGGTCGGCTCCAGGCGTTGGCGGAGTCGGCGTGCGCGGGCTCGTCGGTGTCGGACCTGCTTCGTCGCAGGGCTGCGTCGGCGCGGCTTCGGCACTGCTGGGCGGCGATGTAGAGGCGCCGTCCGGGCTTGGCGCCCGTGTGGTCGTGGGCGTCATCGGCGTCGTCGGCGTTGCCGTCGGCAGCTCGTTCAGGATGAGGCCGCGCTGCACCAGGTACCACGCCTTGAGCTTCTCGTTGTTGCTCTGGAGCATGTCCGCCCCGCTCATCAGAAAAGCCATGTCGGTGTTCCTCTTCTTCGCGGCGACGTTCGTCCGGAGCAGGTCGAGCTTGATGGCGTTGTTCTTCATAAGCGACGACCATCGCGCCTCGGTCTTCTCTTCGCATAGGACGACCTGGGCCTGGGCGTCGGCGAGGCAATGCTCGATGGACTCCTGCACTCGCGTGGTTGCCGCGTCGGCGCTTTTCCCCTTCTTTGCCAACTTGTGGCCGTCCGGCCGTCCCTCTGACGCGCCCGGAGTCGTCGCGTCTGGCTTGTATGTCTCCTTGGCCTTGTCGAGGGCACGCCGGACTTCCGCCCACTTCTCGCACTTGTTAATGCGCTTGTAGACGTGGAGGTGCTTGAAGTCGGCGTCTTGGTTGTCGCCCCGATACATGGCGAACATACGCAGCAGCTGCGCGGAGAGACAAACAGTTGGCGGGCGGCGGGCGTAGGGGACGAAGATATGCGGGCGAACGGCGCGCGGCATAGCGTACTTCTTCGGTGGCATGGCGTGCTTCTTCGCGGCGAGCGGGAGGGGGTTTGGCGGGAGGAAGGCGAGCGAGCGGGAGAAAGGGATAGAATGGCGGGAGGAAGGCGAGCGAGCGGGAGAGATGCGAGGGAAAAGCGTCAAGAAACGTCGGGAAAAGACCCTCGGGTCGCTTCCAGGGCGGGCCCACGCGCCTTTTTCGCTTGCGCCGGCTCCCCAAGCGCCCCCCAGGGCGCCGGGTTCGGCCTGGGTCCGCCGGCACCAGTTTTGGCCCGAGCCGGCGAAAAACGGGTTTCTGGGGGCGCGACTGGGGCCTTTTTTTGGCGCCGGCTCGGCAAAATCGTCTGGGAAAGGCCTGTTGGGGGCGCGGCTGGAGATGCCCTAACGCCACTGCGTTTGTGTCTCCCAGTTGAAGATCTGCCTAGTAAAGAAGAAAACAAACAACAGATGCATAGGGGATTTAATCAACTTTATTTCTTCTTTTGAAAATGAGTCATATTTCGTAAAAAAACCGATAACAAAGAATAAGCAAAACCCACTAAGCGAAAATACCAACAAGGGAAAAAATGGTGGGGTGCACATAAGATGGAGAGGGGGGACAGGATTCCAGGACACAGGAAGAAACCACACGAGACATAGTAGAAAAACAATCTATACTATATTCAGCAATACTCTTGTACTGACATACAAACAGAGAATGTGAACGACAATAACGAATAAATGTGATACGTAGGAAGCCGTAGAAAGCATGAGAGAAAGAACCAGCTAAATAGAGTACTTGTTGCAGACATCCTTCCGAAAGAACTAACCCGAATAGGCGTCCAGAGTCACCATTCCTGCAAATTAGTAAGCAGCAACCATTGTTCAGTGCGTGCATTAACAATGAACAGACAGTCCATAGAATCACTAAACACGTACTCCCTCCGTCTGGAAATACTTGTCGAAAAAATGTATAAAAATGAATGTATCTAAAACTAAAATACGTCTAGATACATCCAATCCTCCGACAAATATTTCTGGACGGAGGGAGTAGATAAATTCCCTGAATGGACATGCTTCCCTAGCCAGGAAGCAGCAAGCAACCACCACACGTGCACAAATGTTATGCGATTACTGTTAACAGAAAGATAGGGTAACGGGAAAGAGATAGCTCAACAAACTGTGCTATGCCTAACTGATGATCTGTTGCACCAAATGGCACAGGTCCCTAATTTAAACCAAGTTATTTGCATGTCAAGACCCCTCTATGAGCTATACATTTTAGATAACTTTTGAGCAATGATCCGGGGATAGTTACTCATACAGAAAATCATATTATGCCCTTAAATAACACGAACATCAGAGGCAATGAAATGTATGATCACAACTCGGGTAAAGTGTATATGTTACTTAAGTACAATGGGCGCACCATATCCTCAAAACCAAAAGGATCAAGCCTGGTAAGCTCCATCAAGGTTTTTAAACATGTTCTTCAGTAATACACGAGTTGAAAGAACGTCAAGCAAAATGAACCAATATCCAAGGCTACAACACAAGGAAAAGAGGAGGGTTCCTCGTTGATGTACCGGAAGAGTCACCATTGAGTCCTTTAACACCCAGATTGGGAATAAACATTTGTTTAGGGAACATAATAACAATCACAAGCATGGAGTAGATGCTAAAATAATTAACATGGACCAACTTAGGCAATACTCTTACAAAGACGACATTGTTTTGAATTAAAGGAATTCCTCCCCTGATTTCATATAGATAAATCAAATGTTGTTATAACTTATAACCAAAACACCCCCACGTCAAGCATACAAACCAAACACCAACAAAGGTCAGAATACCTAGCTGCTATGCAACACAGCAGGGAGGAGAACTAAGAAGCGGGACAAAGACGAAAATCACACTTGAGATAGTAAATAACCATGTTGCTAATTACCAGCCGAACTAGAAATATTCTTGGGTTGTTCAGTCATTATTTGACAAACTACTGAAGTTTCCTCAGTTTCTTCCTTATTTCTAGTTTTATTTATTTTCTTAATTTTGTGAAACTTTCCCATCCCAGATTTTCGCAGTTTTTTTGGAATAATTTATGTTTCCTTTTTACTTTATGTAGTCTCATGGCCATATCAGGTTCTAAATAGATTTATGTTCTTATTAAAATATTTAAAATATGTATTCTTAAATTCATCTTTATTAACCCTTATGTGCAAAATCACAGTCACGTTTTTTAATAATTTGAATAGGACAAAAAAGCAAATTTTGCTGTGGCAGAGTGTTAAGGGTTGAATTGTATAGTACAAAAAATACCCTTGCCAACCATAAAACAGAAGAATTTTACAAAGGTAAGATCAGACACTTCTAGTGTCATTTGTGAAGAGAGTTGTTCTTTTATAGGTCACGAAATGTTAATATTTCCCACCTTTTCTTACTATGGTAAACAAAATGTTAGTTTAAAAAATGACTAATTCATGTACTTCAATTAAACAAGAGAACATGCGACACTCCGCAGATACAGGACAAAAGATTTCAACGCCATCACTTTTTTTTTTAAGAAATCACTAGGCAGAGAGCTGTGACGGAGCTAGGGATGGGTGAGCTGGGGCCATGGCTCCCGGGAAAATATCTAGTGCTCCCAGCCTTGGGGTACTCCCGTTACTCCAATGTCAAAAACTATTTTTTTAATGTTTCAAAAAATTCCGGAAAAAATTGTGAATGTTCACCAGGAATGTCACTACAAGCCCTAAAAATTCAGGTCCAAAATAAAAATGTAAATTGAGAAACAAAAAAGAGAAATCCAGATCTAAATAGTGTTCAATG